ATTTTCTTAATGTTACTACTATACAAAGTAGGTATTACTAGACTCTTTACTAACCTCTCCTATACTGGATAAGTGTTTTATCATTTCACATATTGTCTTACTGTTAAGATTATTTCAATACTTTCTTTACTTTATTTATACAACTAACTTTGTTTGTACTACAGTGTAACATATTTACTACTATATTGTGTGTTATTTGATACATAGTGGTGATAGACCGTAGAATAATTTCATATAAATGCACTTATTGCATATGAGTGCATACACTTACTGTTATAGAGTGCAATACATTTTTAAAATGTAAGCCTGTTGTTATTTTTACGGTATAACACAAGCACATTAAACCTAACCAACACGAGATTATATTCAATATGTATGAACACACAACCATTAAAAGTTCAACTCACCGTTTTTTAACTTTTATGTGATACTCTTAGACATGTTTATGAGATTTCAATACCTATAAAATTTCATATAAATGCACTTATTGCATATGAGTATACTACACTTACTGTTATAGAGTTTTTTAATGTTTGTTATTGTTACGGTAACCAACACAAGATTTATATTAAATTATGTATGAACAACACACTCTTTTTTACTACTATTACTACTCCTACTACTACTTACTACTGACCTAGGTCATTTGTAAGTCGTGTACTAGATAAGTTTTTTATCATATCACATGCAGTACCCTTAGAAATGTTTATATTATTTTAATACTTAATACAATAGATTGTATTGATGTTAGGTTGGACAGACCTTAGATTTAGGTGTAGTCACACATTCAATTAAACATTATTTTGTACAGTTCTTTGATCTACAACATGTATCATATGATTTCACTATAACACTTACTGTTATACAGTGCAATACGTTTTTGCAATGATTCAAAGTTATTGTTGTTAGAAAGTTTATAAATATGTATGAATGCGCAACCAACTAAACATTCTTCTGTGAATTTCTTTGTTTTTTGATTAGTACTTGATTGTAAAGTTAAAATTTATTTATTTAACTATAACAAAAGTCAGTTTATCTGCATACTACAATGAAAATTTTAGATTATACTTTGATGTATTAAGATTAGGTTAAGCTTTGAGTATGGATTTTGACATTCAATGCACAAAAATAATATTATATAATGTTATACAGAGTAACATATTTACTACTAATGTGTGTTATTTGATACATAGTGGAGATAGATATAGGTGTACTTGATCTTATCACATTGAAGACTCTTAAGTATTAGTGTAACATAAACTTATCATATAATAATTTCGTATAAATGTACTTATTGCATATGAGTACATACACTTACTGTTATGTATGAACACACAACCATTAAAAGTTCAACTCACTGTATTTTAACTTTTATTATGGACATTTACAACCAACGAACAAAATATTTTCTTATTACTACTACTACTACTAACATTACTTACTACTGAGCTAGGTCATTTGTAAGTTGTGTACTAGATAAGTTTTTTTGAATTTTACATGTAGTACTCTTCGAAATTAACAAAGAAATTTACAGAAGAAAGTATGATTGGTTGCGCCTCCATACATATTTTTTAACAACAATAACTTTGAAACATTGTAAAAATGTATTGTACTGTATAACAGAAAGTGTTATAGTGTTATAGTGCAATACGTTTTTACAATGTTTCATAGTTATTGTTGTTAGAAAGATTATAAATATCTATGAATGCTCAACCAATTATACTTTCTTTGTTTTTTGATTTTCTCTTGATTTTAAAGATAAAATTTATTTATTTAACTATAACAAAAGTAAGTTTATCTACTTATTTATTACATGACAATTTTAGATTATACTACGATGTAAAAGATTGTATTAAGGTTACGTTAAGCAGGGCTTAGATATAGGTGTAGTTAACTTGATCACATTGAACACACATTTAGCTAAATGTACTTCTCTTTTTCTCCTATTTATTTTTACCTACTTATTTATAAAATTACTTAAACGAGCATAACATCTATACTAATACACACGACATTAATTCCTGGTTAAACAATAATTATATTTTGCATTGGAAATAAAATACTCTAAACTCAACCAAACTTTTAGGTGTTCGGGGACATCCAGATGGATGTGGCGGAGGCCGTGGAAGTGGCAGAAGTCCAGATGGGGGTGGTTGAGGACATGGAAGTGGTAGAGGACGTGTAGTACGTGGAAGTGGTAGAGGACGAGGAATTGGTGGAGTACGTGGAAATGGTCGACGACGGGTTGGAGGACGACTTCCAGGTAGTGGAGGTGGAAATGGTCGACGACGGGGTGGAGGACAACTCCCAGGTAGTTGAGGTGGCAAGACGGAGGCATTAAACTACTGCTTGCCAAGGCTGCGGCGTTGGAAGGTATTAAGGATAAGCTACGTTCAGAACCAGCTAAAACCGCAATCAGTGAGCTAATGGAAGTGCTCAACGCCATGGAGGGCTGCCACAAGAAAGTGATCATGGCGTTCAATGATACCAAAAGGCTATTCAGAAAGGAGGAGGAACTAAAGAGAACTAATTGTGACGCCAACCCACCAAAAGCCCCTTCTACAGAAGCCGGCACGCAGTCTCCCTGCTCGTGGGACATCAGCGCTGCGCCAGCCCAGTCAATGACCCGGAAAGAAATGATGGCCGCGCCACAATCATGGACGGAGGTGGTAAGGAAGGGGAGGTCGAAAGGGCAGACAGCGGCAACAACGGAGAAAGCAGCCGTAAGAGAGCCCCGGCTGGAGAGAGCAGCTGGAAACCTCGGGAAGACACCTACCCCACAGCCGCGCAACAGAACGCGCCCTGCGGCATTATTGGTGAAGGTAGGTGCCGAAGGTTTCCCCGAACTGGCGAAGAAGATTCGGAGCGGCGTCAACGCCGACGTCATCGGCGACAGCATCGTTGGCGTACGCCAAGCTAAGTCCGGCGGCCTTCTTATAGAGATCCGCGGTGACCAGGCCCGGTTTGAGGCTGTCCGCGCTAAAGTCGTCAGATCAGCCGGCACGGAGGTCGAGGTACATTCCCTCCAGCAAAGGGCGACGGTGGAAGTCCGCGACCTGGGCGAGTGGACCGGAGCCGACGTGGTCGCAGAGGCAGTGGCAAATGCTGTAGACGTCAACCTAGATGCTGTGAAGATACTAAGCCTCCGAAAGAGGTTTGGGGGCGCTCAGACAGCCCTGGTCTCGCTCCCGCAGGCCTCCTCACGCGGGTTGGCCAGCTCGGCAGACTGCGGGTCGGATGGGTGAACTGCAGGGTGAGGTTGGCTGGCCAAAGGTCAGGTGCTTCCACTGCCTGGCTTTTGGGCATATGTCTAAGGACTGCGTGGGACCGGACAGGACAGAGTGCTGCCGAAGATGCGGAGAAGTAGGACACAAGGCTGCCAGCTGCAACGCTTCAGCCACGGCGATAAACGCGTTCGCGAAGACTGTCGACGAGGAGGGTAGGAAGAAGCTATGACCAGCCACTACCAGAGTCACCCCCGGAGCGGTTCCACACCAACTGGGACGGGTGTAGTACAAATTATATTGAACCACTGCTGGGCGGCGCAACAGCTTCTGCTGCAGACGATGGCCGAGAGAGGCGCGACGCTGGCGGTTATATCGGACTACAACAGGGCCATGGGCGACTCTGATCATTGGGTCGGTAGCACCGATGGCAAGTGTGCGGTATACGTTTCAGCCAAGTCTGACGCGGTCATCGCCGACCAAGGTGCCGGCATCGGCTTCGCCTGGGCGAGAGTCGGGACGGTTACGGTGTACAGCTGCTACTGTTCGCCGAACTGTTCCCTTCAGGAATTCGACCTCTTCCTGTGTGGTCTAGAAGGGTCGATACGTCGCCATCCTCTTGCGACTGCGGGTCTAATTGTGGCCGGCGACTTCAACTCGCATTCTGCGGAGTGGGGTTCGGCGACAAACGACGTGAGAGGGGCAATGCTGTCCGAATTTGCCTTGACTTTGGGCCTGGTTGTCAGGAACATTGGCACACAGCCGACGTACAGAAGGGTCAACGCGTCGTCAGTTATTGACGTCACCTTCACGCGCGCTGCACCCAACAGCCGCCTAGCTATCTCGGACTGGGAGGTCTTAGATGATGTCTACTCCGCTAGTGACCACACGTATTTACGTTTCCTGTGGCTGATGAAGCTCCGCCCGAATCAGCGTCCACACGGCTACCGGGGTGGTCCATCAAAAAGTTGAACCCTGACGCGGCCAACGTCCTCTGGAACCTGACTGGACCTCCACGCCCGTTGCTGGCCGACGCCTCCGCTGCAGAGCACGCCGAGAGGCTCAATGACCTACTGACAGCTACGTGCGAAGCGGCTATGCTGCGCAGAACAATCATCCAGAAGAGGCGGAGAGTCCACTGGTGGAACGACTCCATCGCCGAACTGCGGAACGCTGCCATAGCTGCCAGGAGGGTGTATCAGCGTGCGGGCCGCAGATCCGCACAGACGGACAGATCGCCGGAGCTTGCAACATACAGCAGGGTGAGGGCTGAGCTCAAGCTGGCGATACGGAAGGCCCAGGAGAACAGCTGGTCAGAGCTGTGTCGGGCAGTTGATAGCGACCCATATGGGGCGTCCCGTATAGGCTGGTGACTAAAAGGCTTGGACGTCGTACTCCAACCCTGGACCGGGAACTGACCGTCGCCGTGGCCCGCGGATTGTTTCCGTCACCCTCTCCACCGGTTTGGGAAGACATCCCACTGGAGATAGAGGTACCGGCACTCCTAGTCGACCTATCAGATGCGGCCACTACGACGCCTCTAATCACTGCTGACGAAGTGGGTCGCGCCGTCGCCAGACTTCCATCGGGAAAGGCGCCGGGACCCGACCTCGTTCCGAACGAGATCATCCGGTTAACGTATAGCAGATTTCCAGAGATATTCTTGGAATGCTACAACGCGTGTCTCGCAAAGGGAGATTTCCCGTCGTGATGGAAACGTGCGAAGTTGGTCCTACTGCACAAGGGGCAGGGAAAACCGCCGGACCTTCCGTCCAGTTACCGGCCGATTAGTCTGCTAGACGGGGCTGGCAAGGTCTTTGAGAGGATTTTGCTCAACAGGCTTGAGGAGCACATCGTAGGTACCGGAGCAATCAGCGATTCGCAGTATGGTTTCAGACGGTCAATGTCAACCACTGACGCAGTTGAGGATGTCCTGAGAGTGGTCGAGAGAGCCAATCGCGGCCCAGCGAAGGACAGGCACCTATGCGTACTCATCTCGTTGGACGTTAAGAACGCTTTCAACTCGGCGCCGTGGAACCTAATCGACGAAGCTCTTCGGAGATCCGCTGCACCGGAGTACCTGATAAGAGCTCTTAGATCGTACATGCACGCCAGGAACCTGGCAGTGGACGAGGACCTGTGCATGCCCGTCTCATGTGGTGTCCCGCAGGGTTCAGTTCTGGGACCGACATTTTTTACGATGGCGTTCTCCGACTCCCGGTGCGAGATGGCATAAGAATAATTGCGTTTGCAGACGATGTAGCAGTGGTGGCAGTCGCGCACAACGCGGAGCTCATCGAACAGCTAGTTAACCCCACCCTCGAAGACATTGTCGGTTGGATGTCCTCCAATGGCCTCCGTCTGGCACCAGAGAAGTCAGAGTGCGTAGTGCTGACGAAGAAACGCTCATTTCGAGAGCCAAGCCTGCACATACAAGGTTGTCAAGTCCCGGTCAAGCGCTCGGTAAGATACCTCGGTATTCGGCTGGACACCCGACTCTCGTTCGTCGAACACGCCAGCACGGTTGCAGCTGGGGCGAAGAAGGCAGCGGTTGCCCTGGCGAGGCTTATGCCAAACGTAGGCGGCCCATCACAAGGCAAGCGGAGCCTCCTAATGAGTGTAGTACACAGCCGGTTGCTCTACGGCGCAGTTATCTGGTCCGAGCGGGTTCTGGAGACCCAAAAGAGCAGCAACCTCCTCTTGCAAGCGCAGAGGGTCGCTGCGCTGAGGGTCGCGAGATGCTATCGCACGGTGTCAGATATGGCCACCCTCGTGCTGGCCAGAATGCCCCCAGTCACTCTTCAGGCCGTCAGCAGGAGGAGAACAGTTATGGCGAAGAGAACTGGTGCCACACCAACGAAGTGCGAAACAACTGTGGAGATTGTCCGACAATGGCAAGGTCTCTGGGAGGCGACAACAAAGGCCGAATGGACGAAACGGCTAATCCCTGACTTATCCAGGTGGTGGTACAACGGCCCGAAGACGGTGAGTTTCCACATGGCCCAAGCCCTAACGGGCCATGGATGCTTCCAGAAGTACCTCTGGCAGAAGAAGCGGCAGAACAGTCCGGAGTGCGTCCACTGCCCAGTCGCGAATGATGACGCAGAGCACACGCTATTCTACTGCCCGGAATGGGATGCAGCAAGGGCGGAGCTAACAACAGCTCTGCGGAAGGCTGTACGCCCGGAGGACGTTACCTATCTCCTTTGCGGATTACACCCAGATGACCTGCCCGACGACCCAGCACAGAGGAAGAGGTTGTGTGCTGCCGCTACCACCCACAGGCAGCTGTTCTGCAACATGGTGGAACTGATCATGGGTCAGAAGGAGGAGATGGAAAGGGCAAGGCAACATCAGCAGCGCCAGGATCCAAATCCCCAACAATGAAGGAAATGAACCGTAGTTAAGTCTTGATGAAGTGGGCTGAAACGGCCAAAAGTATTGTTATTGTATTGTTAGTATAGTAATTGTATTATTCAGTAATGTGATGTTTGTTTGTTGTTATCAATAAATGATGTAGGCAGGGAGGCAGCAATGGGGAAACCTACTTCCCTCCCTGTCTGCGGTTTAAAAAAAAAAAAAAAAAAAAAAAGGTAGTTGAGGTGGAAATGGTCGACGACGGGGTGGAGGAAGTGGTGGAGGACGACTTCCCGGTAGAGGATATTGAGTACGTGGTAGTGGTCGAACTACCCAGAGTGCGTGCGCCAATGATTTACCGGCAGGCGGGCGTGACACATCCGCTTCCAGAGCGGCACGACGCGGGCGCGTTAGACAGAGTCTGCCCAATGTGTAACGCCCGCCACTTCAGTGAAGAGCAAACGTCCCGGGGTCACTTCTCCACGTGTTGTAACAACGGCCAAGTGGTCGCTGCAGGACAACACGCGTTGTTGCCCGTTCCCTATTTAATTCAGAGTTTATTTATAGATGATTCACAGGATGGCCGTAGATTCCGGGCGGACATTCGGCGGTACAACAACGTTCTGGCATTCGCTGCGTTTACCTGCGACGCAAACGACAGGCATTTGCCAGGGCGGGGACCGCCAGTGTGGATAGTCCACGGACAGACCTATCGGAGGACCAACAATGAGGTGGCCGTTGCCCCGGGAGGTGCCAACAACTGTCAGTTGTATTTCCTGGAGTCCGGAGAGGCCAACCACCAGCTTCTCGACATTGCACGACAGAGCAATCATGAACTGTCCGAAATCGTCATAGAATTATCGGACGGTTTGCTGCGGGACATCAATCCGTATGCGATGGCTTTTATGTAAGAAAACTTTAACTATCGTATTTATTAACACTGGGAATGTGAATTTCCCCCCTTAGAGTAAATACTTTTCTTAATGATTTAAAATAGTATAGATAGCAAACAGTTTTCTTAACTTCTGCTTTTAACTCCTCCTTATTAGTTATTTGAAATACCGAAGGTACATATTTATTTCAAATAATACATGCAATAAATTGGTTATTAAGACTGCCAGTCGTTTTTGTATTTTTATTATTATTATTATTTTTTTTTTTCACAACCATACCAACTATTATTAGATCTATGTAACCCTTATAGTAAATTCTAAGTAGAGGTTTTATTGTTACCTATTCTGTGTGACTCTCTAAGCTTACTACACCCACACACACACACACACACACACACACATATTTATAATATACATTTTTATTTTATATTGTGTTAATAAACATAATAATAATAATATACTAATTTAGCAACGAAAAGTTCAAGTTATAGATAACAGATGAATAATGACAGACAAGTTTCCTGTAAAAGCAGAAAAGCTGAGTTGATATTATAATTGTTATAAAGAGAATGTGTTCATAATTGTAAAATAGAAAATATTTAAAAGATAGTTAAACGAAATATTAAACTTCAAAAACGGGTTAAATACAATAGAAAATGTTTCAATAAATTTCTTATAGCTTATAGCTTATTCCTATCAAGTTAAATGCACTGAATGATATTTACATACCATTATATTACCTACATTAAAATTTTGGTTATATAATACTTTTAAAAAAAACCTATTTTCTATTGGTTAATACTTATTTGTTATTTAAGACACCTCATGTATAATACATGCAATTCCTAAACCTTAAAGTCAATACTCAATGATATAACATTAAATATGGCATAGGGTTCGGATGTTTATGACTTAAGATATTCATGTAACTTTGAAGTAAAACTATCTTGTGATACATTTAATAATACATTAATACATTTTATACTTTTTACCTATTGAATATGATTCTCTACACTTTTACACCTACACATAAGGTACACAAATATTGAAAATAAATTTTTTTAGTATAGATTATACTTTCACCGCTACCAATAAACAGGTAAATGGTTTTAAATTTTACTTTACTATTATTACACATACACAATTATTTCTAACAATATAGAGATAAATGCATTGAACGATATTTACATATTATTAGGTTACATATCTACATTTTATTTTAGTTTACAAATCCTTAACTCCAAATACACCAATTACCATATCCTTTGTAATCACAATTCACAATTATTTGTAAATATATACATGTCTATATTTGTTTCAGGAACATGCGTCAGGTGTGGCTGGCGGAAAGAGCCCTAGCCGATCCTGCAGCTGTGCCACCCAGACCAGTCAGGATGCATTTCGTCGAAGATGCGGCCCGGGATAGGGGCCGAAACAACCTGCCTACCGCAAATGAAGTTGCGACCGTGTTCGTAGGTGAAGGTGGTCTTCCTCCCAGAAACATCAATCTGGTCATCTACGACACCAATCCAATCGATCAACAACGGAGGACCCAATTCATACCAGCGGGTTAGTTAATAAATATTGAACGCTTACAATATTTACTATACACTAGGATTGAAATACTTCCTTTTCGAGTCTAACTGCTACCAACGAAGAGTTAAATTACACCCTATCATATAGCTTTACTACATCATATATTTTAGCCTTTTTTTTGAAATTTAATTACTCAATAACCAATACGTTAGGTCAACGCCGACTTCAACCCTTCCACTTGTGCAGTAATACTTATTACATTAGCAGTGTGAGTTTGTTGGGTGATAAAACAAAAGTCATTACATTATAATACATTTCATATCAATTTTCCTCCTGAATAAATTATTTTCATAGTGATAGTATGACAATAAGTTACGTTACTTCAATGATTAATTCACTGTTCTCTTATTTCATAATAACAATAACTAACATCACTTAGAATTATTAACACTTGGTATAGAAATTTTCCGAGTTCATATTTTAGATTATTTTATAAATTACCTTTCTTTTGCGGTTCTGAAAAACATCACGTACTTGCTATACACACAATAAATAAATAACTCACAGTTTTAATTGTACACAGTAAATATCCGACCACACATACTATCTCTACATTCTTTTGAAATTTAATTAGTTATTTATCAATTAATTTGGGCAAAACCAACATATATAATAACACTTATTAAATTAACAGTGTAAATTCATTGTGTTTGTGTAAAACAAGCCATTCTACATTATTACACATTGAATACAGCGTGGATCGACATAATACCTATCACATGTCTCATCAATTTTTCCTCCTAAATAAATTATTTTCATAATTTTTTAGTTAGTGTTACATTAAGTAACATAAATCAAATCTAAAGTTGCATTACTTCAGTATTTTGTGCTCTTATTTCATAATTTGACTGACACCACTTTTACAGACATACCACTATTAACATATTTTGTGGTTCTACAAAACATTATGTAGGTACTTGCTATACACACACAACACAATCATAATAATAAATAAATAAATAGATATAAATAACTACTAAACGTATCTCCATAAACTAACTCTCAGCTACTACAGACCTTTGGTTACTTTGGTCCAAGTGTGTCCTTAAAATTCATTATATTTCTCAAGGGTCGTGTCACTCGGATCCCATGTTGTATCCGCTGTTTTTCCCGTACGGCGACGCAGGTTGGCATAACGGGATGTTGCAAGAGGGCCCTCGACGAAACAATGTCCGCAGTCAAAACACTATAAGAGAGTTCGCGTGCTACCGTTTGGGCATTCAATATGAGGGAAACAACGACACGAGGCACCAACTGTTCAGCTCAATACATCAAGGTCGGTCCTTGTTGCACATGTTTGTGTGCGACCAATACGTTCAGATGGAAACCGACAATCTGAACTACATACGTGAGAATCAGAGGGATCTCCTTACCGAAGCGTATCAAGGGCTCGTGGACCATGTGAACCAACACCTCAACATCGAACCTATGGCGGTCGGCCGTAGAATCATTTTGCCGTCGACGTTCGTGGGCAGCGACCGATACAACAAGATGTGTTATCAAGACGCTATCACCATGGTCCGTAGCAAAGGAAAACCCGACCTGTTCATAACGTTTACGTGCAATCCCAGGTGGCCGGAGATAACAGAAAACCTGGCGGCTCACAGCAATGCAAATGACAGGCCCGACCTGGTGGCCAGGGTGTTCAACAGAAAACTGCAGGAGCTACTAGGTGACCTGACTGTTAATCGTGTGTTTGGTAATCTCGCCGCTTACGTATATACTATTGAGTTTCAGAAACGCGGTCTGCCCCATGCGCACATACTGGTAATCCTGGAGGAGGATCATAAGTTCCGCACGGCGGCAGACGTCGACGACGTAGTTTGCGCCTTCTTGCCGGACCCGGAGACCGACAGGGGGCCTATTCTTGAAAGTAGTAGAACGATATTCGTATACGAACCATTCTACTGGTAGATATTCTACTACCAACTCAAAACCGTATTCTTGAACGCCAATAGAATAGTTGGTAATAGAACTGGTCGTGCACGAATATTATTCGAATGGTGCGGAACGGCAACGTCGCAATGCTGTCCGTTAATTGGTCGAAATTTGTATGAGCACGCGCAATTAGTGGAAATTCAAAATACAAAATAATATTTCAATATTACACTCTTTTTTTTTATAGCGACCTTTCCGTTCTCGATCCCTGTGTCTCTTTTTGTTTTACTTCTATTTTTTTTTGTACGATGGCGAGAAAGTCGATGACACCGTCACAAAAAGAAGCTTTATGGAAAACCACCCCGATCTAAGAAAAGGCAAGTTTTCCATAAATTTTACAACGGAAATAGCAAAAAAAATGTGGGTGGAATGCCAAACTAAGTTAAACAGCATCCCCGGACCGGCCAAAGAATGACATGAATGGCGAAAAGTAATAATTGATACTTAATAATTGAAGTTTGTATTATATTATAAATATTGATGAAACAAACAGAAATTCTAACATAAGATATTAAGAAAATATCTAAAATAAAAATATTTACCTCATAAGCAAATATCACTGTAGGTACATGTTTAAGAAAATAGCTCTAGTATTAATTTAAA